TAGTCCCTCCTCACCATTATCTGTATCTGGTTATACCATCCTCTTTGGCTCCAATCTCTACTCCATAGGAACCATGGTTTCCATACAATGCACTGTTGGTGCCCAAATAGCCTGAAACATCTGTATGCAGTTTGGAATAAATGGCTCTATAATTTTAAGCTATATTAGCTATATTAGCACTATACACCAGCAGATCTGGATGTCTATCTGGCCAAAAGAACATAACCAAATGATTTCCATGACTCTGCACACTGCAGAATCATCTGGTCTCCTAAACACTGGCCCTGATATCCTGTTTTAGGGTGACTCCTTTCCCTTGAAGGGTCCTATGGAGCCACCCTGGTGTGTGCTAGTAAGGTGTGTGTGTCTCCACAAACACACACAGGCAAATCAAGGCAAGCCTGCTGTTCTGAAACATAATGACTGTAAGTGTTTGGGCAAAGTGTAAAGAAATACTTTGCTGGGCAATGTATATTTGTCTGATCTGGACTTATTGAAAAAGAAAGTTTGAGAGTTTAATACTACTTTAGGTATTGGTAAACTGCAATATATTCCATTTTTGTTTTTGGGCTTAGATACACTTTAAGGAAATAAAATATTTTAATAAGTGTATTTCTTTTGTCCTGAATTAGGTATAAATATGTAAAGTATATATCTATATATATATATAAAAAACCATATACACTGCCTGGCCAAAAAAAAGTCACCACTTGGATTTAGCTAAGCAATTAGATCAGAGCCTTCCATTGAATAATAGGCCTAGGTTTAGCAATGTTATGTCCTTGAAAATTTGAGCTCAGCTGGCTACCTGAACATACTGAATGACCAGGTTTTTCCATCAATGGATCTTTTCTTCCCTAATGGAATGGGCATAATCCAAGATGACAATGCCAGGATTCATAGGGATCAAATTGTGAAAGAGTAGTTCAGGGAGTATTAGACATCATTTTCACACATGGATTGGCCACCACAGAGTCCAGACCTTAACCCATTGAGAATCTTTGGGATATGCTGGAGAAGACTTTACGCAATGGTCTGACTCTCCAATCATTACTACAAGATCTTGCTGAAAAACGAATGCAACTCTGGACAGAAATAACCGCTGGGACATCGAAATGATGCGACGGCGAATGTGTGCCATAATCAAAGCTAAAGATGGTCCAATTAAATATTAGTGTGTGTGAATTTTTTGGCCAGGCATTTAACTTTACGTTTAAAACATTATAAATATTGTGACAGGACAGTGCCGTGTCACTATGGTGATTGGTGTGTTTGGCACCCAGGACTCTCGGCCAGAGGACCTGAGAGGGTACAGAAAATATATAGTATTACAGGAAAGGAGCTGGGTTTCCAGTTCTTTAGGGGTTTTCTGGAGTATAACTGAGATCTGGGTCTGGGTGGAGATTTCTAAGGCTGGGCACACACCTTACAACCATCGCAAGACTTTTGTCTTGCGATGGTTGTAAGGTACTTAAAAAAACGTACGATCTGTTAAATTTGCATAGGCAGATCGTACTTGCGATGATCGCAAGCCACGCCCCCTGAGGGGCGGGCTTCCGATGACCGCAATGCCGAACGGGCAGTGTGCGCTTGTGCACACCGGCCCGTACGGCTGTTATCGTACGGACATGCTACAAACCCGCCGAACATCGTACGATGCACGGCGAGTTTTCGAACATATCCGTAAGTTTAAAGTCATGCGACCTTACAGTAGTAGAGGTCGCACGGCTTCCACACACCTTACGATAATCCTACGATCGCGGGATTTCCTGCGATTATCGTACGATTATCGCAAGGTATGCGGGGACCTTTAGGCTGGGTTCACACTTGGGCGTTCGTAATATGCGCGTTTGACGCATGTTTCGGGCCGCGTGTTTTTACCGTGGTTTGCGGTCAACGAAACATGCGACAAACGTGCATTTACGAAATCTATCAGACTGTATCCTAATGGATACGCGTGGAAAAACGCCCCAAAAGAAGCTCCTGTACTAGTTTGGGAGTTGGGCGTATTTCAGCGCGTTATGAAGCGCTGAAATACGCCCAGGTGGGAACCATGCCCATTGGAATTAATGGGATTTCACTGCTTGAGCGTTTTACAGCGCTTCGTCCAGAAGCCAGAGTGGAGCCAGGTGGTTGTGTGTGCGCTGGAGGCACACGAGCAACAGCCTGGGGGGCTGGAAGGCTTGAAGAGCCAGCAAGAGCCAGGCATGTGTGTGAAATCAAAAGATGCTCAAAGGCACAGAATATCCCGGAAGATATTCTGTTGAGGAAAACAGTAAGGTCCTGGGACACTGAACAGGATAACCTGTGAATGGTGAGCTGATATGTTTGCTGAAATACTAGCATACTTTGTTGTACTGCTAAGGCAAGCTATTTTTCTGTTACAAAAGAAATAAAAGACTGTCCTTTTTCTGTGAAAACGGCTTCAAGACTGGTCCTTAAACGCTCACCATATGTTCTAGCAGTGGCGTCACAAGGGGGGTGCGGCCCGCACCCGGGTGCCACCATTGGGAGGAGTGACACCAAAATGACTTTTTGGTCATTTTGGTGTCACCCCCCTCTGAAAAGTCGGGCGCTCGGTCATGGACCGAACGCCCGACAGTATCAGGAGAGAGGGGGGGACCCGGAGGAATACCTTATCCCGCCGGGTGACTGTATCGGGACGCCCCTGTGTGCTAGATTCCCCTAATATCACAATATGTAAAATATATACTTAAAAACAATATACTTTCCTTTTAAAACATTATACCCACATTTGTTTTTCAAGCTTGAGTTCTAGCAGCCGCATCCGCCACTAATAAACTGGAAAACCGTGTATATTTAACTTCTAATCTTCCAGGTATGCCTGATTAATCTAAGATTCTCTGGCTCATGCTGACATTGGATTGTATTTTGTACGTTAGGCGTGATATCTGGCATACAGTCAAGGCAAATTGATCGCTGTATTCTTGTATCCAGGTGATATTACCAGTCTCCGGTACATGTACAATGTCAGGGTCTCCCCTTCACACTACTATAGGCATAGTACAGTGAGTCCGGCAGTACTGTCACCCTCCCTATCGCACTATAGCTGACATTGCTTTTTTTCTGGGTGAAGCTGTGAAATTATTTTTCTACTCGAACAGTTTTCAATTTAGATTAAGAAAAATTTGAGACTCTGCGTCAGGAGGCGTCAGTAACTCAAGCAGGAATGGCTGACAGAGAGCAGGAGGAGAGAGGAGGGGAAGAGATAAAGGGAGAGAGAGATTATGGAAAAGACGTGGAGAGGGGAAATTAGATGTATAGATGAAAATGAATCAGAGGGGGAGAGCGCGGACCCGATCATTTTTAAAGTAGGCAGAAAAGAAAGAAAAATGGAAAAATTTTATTGGCATAAAAAGCCACTTACACACAGGAAATGGAAAAGATGAAAATAAATGGAGTGACATATACTAGATTATGAAGCTGAAGGTCCTGAAAAATATGAACATTGCATAATCACTCCCAATATATCATACATTACTTGGCTGTCATCTCGACTGAAGCACTCAAAGCCGATTAAAAGGGTCAGTGTAACTTTAGAGGAGTTCTAAAGTCCTAGCATATACTACAACATCAGCATTGTAATAGGAATACATACTAGAGTTGTTTTGATAATGCAATCAAAGCTTACATGAAAAAATCCCTTTTATGTAGTGAGTGCTGCCTTCTGTCTGCCCATCACTTTCAACAACTTCCTGGATTCCCAGTGTGCTTCGCGTCTCTTTCCCTGCTACTTGATGTGATGCAATCTCCATTTCTCATGACTACATAGTCCATCATGCATTGCTTCCAGCAAGCAATGGTAATGTTACATTGTTCAGATATTGAGTTATAGTTCAGAAGGCAGGTTTTATGAGAGTTAAGGCACAATGAAGTTCATATTCACAGGGCTGAGTAAAATTGTGTCAGTGCATTGAGGAAGTACTTCCCATGTGCATCTTCAATAAGTTTACAAACTTCTAGATGAATATGCTTATTAGGAGTTGGATAGAACTATATGGCTATATAGAAATACAATATCAGTATAGAAATATAGGATATTAATATAGAAATACATATTTATTTTTAGTTTTTGACCATAGATACCATTAAAGTGATATTTTTGCTTTAGGTGAATATTGGAGACTTAGGATTTATTCACACTGGTATTGTCAAACATATATATGCGTTTAAAGCTAAGTTCTCAATGCATATATATGCAAGCAATGTCTTTTCAATGCTATCGTTCAGACAGGACATTTCAGGGCCATTCAGTTTAGCTCGGTTTAGAGAAAATAGAATTCTGTGCTTCTAGAATCCGATTAGAAATTCTAGACACGACTGTACTGATTTTAATGCAACTAGACACGACTATACTGCTTTAATGTGTATTTTTCTTTTGCAGCCAAATTATAACACCTATTTTATATTTATTACAATACATGTTCCTATTTATATTGATTACATGTTCTCATTTGCTTTGCATAACTTATAAAAATATGTAAAAATTGCTGTTAAGTGCTTATTACTTGCTTAAAAATTCTAATATATATATATGGTAAGAAATATTAAAAAGAATATTTTTAGGTATGCTGTGTGAACGTTACATTTGAAGCATAAATGAGTGTCCGACGAATGTGCAGAAAATGCACAACTTTATTCATGCAACATGGATGAAGCTCCCCAAGGAACATTCCCAGAACCTCATTGAATCCATGCTTTGAAAAATTCAGCCTGCTGATGGCAAAAGGAGATCATTACAGTCACTGTATACAGTACTATACATAGTGTTAATCCTAAAACTCAGACAGGATTGGCTTGTATCTAATAAGGAAGATCTAGGCTGATGTTTGGAGGGGAGGAAGGAAGCTGGAGTTTGGAGGCAAGGTGCTGTCCAGGCTGGTGACTGGAGGGAGGGTTGGTCCAAACTGATGTTGAGAATGGGGGAGTTGTCGAGATTGGTGTTGGATAGTGGGGAGTGCAATGGTCCAGATTGAAGTTTAGAGGGGGTGGTCCAAGTTGATGTTGAGAATGGGGAATTTCTCCAGGCTGGTGTTTAGAGGGAAGTGGTCCGGGCTTATGTTCAGAAGGGGGATTGTCCAGTGTTTAGGGGGGCAGACTGGTGTTGAAGGTGGGTGGTCCTGGCTGGCGTTAAGAAATGGGAGGTTGTCCGGGCTGGTGTTTTTGGGGGGGCCAGATTGGTGTTTGAAGGCAGGTGGTCCAGACTGATGTTGAGAAGGAGGAGGGTTGTTCAGGCTTGGAGGGGTTCCGACTGGTGCTTAGGGGAAGTGAGTGCTCCTCTTGTAGCATCTCTTCAGCCCTGAAGGGCATAATACAAACAAGTAAAATCATAATTCATAAAATGTAAACACATCAACCAGCAAAAATAATGTTTCTAATGAGGAAGTTAAGGTGGCAGACGGAAGATTTAGTTCTAAATTTGTTATCAGTACCATGTAACTGTACATTGCTCCAACAATCCATCCATTTTAAATATTTAAAAAAAAATGATATTCCTTTTATACATATGCCTATTATTTACTAGTATTTCAAGACTATTATGGAGAAGACACATTCCTGAGCCATCAGAAAGTAACCTAGGGTATGGCTTAGAGCGTAACCTAGGGTATATGTACAATGGGTTGGAAGAAGAGTTGTAGGAAGCTGGTGGGGCGGTCAAGTGCAATATAGCCAGTAAAGTAAATTGAAATCCTCCCAGGAGTTTTAATTGACATTTGTTTTAGGATGTGTTTCTTCTGAAGGCTTGGTAATGGAATATCTGTGGTGTGTTGTATTGATTGGATGCCTACTATAAACACAACAATTGTGTTAGTCCTGACATGGAAGTGTTTTGATAGTGTGAAATGAACCATAGCATTGGCTGTCTCCCTACTGACTTGCAATCTGTATAGTACTCTTAGCTTGTCAGTGCGAGACCTTTGTAGGTGTACGTCCTTTCAGTAATGTTGATGATATGTCTCTACTGATGGGTCTTCATGAACGGGCTGTACTCTAGAATGTCTTTATCAATCTTGTTCTGTAGATGCCTTTGGAATGTTCTCATTCTGTAATGCTATAGTCCTGTGCTATAAACCAGCAAATCTGGACACTTGGTTATCAAAGGAGTTGAGACAGCGGTGGGGCCAGGCACTGGGGCCCGGGTGATGGGGGGGAGGTGATGAACGTCGTGCGATGGTTGTAAAGTGTATGCCCAGCTTAAATCTGGACTCATCAGACCTTTTTCCATTGCTCCAGAGTCCAATCTTTATGCTCCCTTGCAAGTTAAAACCATTTTTCTGATTAGCCTCACTGGTGAGTGATTTTCTTAAGGCTACACAGCTGTTTAGTTCTAATCCCTTGAGTTGTCTTCACATTGTGCATGTGGAAATGCTTTTACTTCCACTATTAAACATAGCTGTGAGTTCTACTGTTGATTTTTTTACAATTGGATTTCACCAAATGCTAAAGTGATCTGCAATCACGATCATTCAAGATTTTTTTTCAGCCACATCAAGATAACCGTTCACCACTATCCTTCCAGGTTTTATAATGAGTTCAACGGTTTTTAACCGAATTTTAGTAGTTTCAGCAAACTCCTTAGTTGTTTTCTTTGCTTGATGCAGGCCAATCATTTGACCATTGTGAAACAGAGTTACATCTTTTCCATGACCAAAAGATATGTCTTCTGACAGGGTTGTTTAAGAAATGAGAATTCTACTTGCTGCATCAGTTAGCGTTAAAGAACTTGAGAAATGAAACATATCAATCACTGCAGTAATTATCCAATGGAAGGATCTTACCTATTTGTTTTTTTGGACAGGCAGTATATAAACATATATAT